AGCAAGTGCTGATAAGAGGCAATCTACAGGTTCTGTATCTTCCAACCACGTTGGACTGGAAGAGAAATTTGTCTCTGGAAGGGGTTTCGGGCCTTCTGTAAGAGGTGGGCCTAGGAGGGTTGTCATGTCAAATAAACCTTCAAAACAGATGTTAGATTCAGAGGGCTTGAGCCCTGGTCGAAATAATTCACAAGGAATAGAGTCTGGAAACAGGGCTGAAAAGGGAGCTGGAAAAGATGCCTCGACAAAGAGTCAGAATATCCTGAAATCTGGAGAGGGAAACCTTAAAAGAAATATTCATTCTGAAGAGGATGTTTATGCTCCTCTGCAAAGTGGTATTGTGCGTGTTTTTGAGCAACCTGGCATAGAGGCTCCTAGTGATGAAGATGATTTCATTGAAGTGAGGTCAAAGAGGCAAATGCTGAATGATCGGCGTGAACAGAGAGAAAGAGAAATCAAGGCGAAGTCTCGCGCCTTAAAGGTTGTAATGCATGTAATTATTCAGTTTGTCTTCTGCTTTGCGTTGATTTAAATAGAGTTGCTTAATTGCATTTATTTGCTCATTCAGGTGCCACGGAAACCTCGTTCTACTTCAAAAGGTAGTACTGCCTCTGCCAACTCAGGTAAAAGTTCTGCAGCGACAAATGGAGAAGCAGGAAACAGCATTCACTCTGATTTTGTTGCCTCTGAAGGATGTGGATTGGCAAATATTGAAGTGTCAGCTGGATTTAACACTAATGTATTGTCTCAACCGTTGGCTCCAATTGGCACTCCTGCTGTGAAAAGTGATGTCCAGGCTGATATTAGATCTCAAACAATCAGGTATTGCTCTCTTTGGAGAAATATACAACACCTATAATGTGCACACATTGATTTCTAATGGTTTTCTTTTTCTTCTTAACAGGTCACTCAACACAAGCTCCCTTCCTGTAGTATCAGGTAGTGTAAAAAATATTGGGCGAGGCTCAATTATCGAGAACAACAATAAGGTCCTGGATAATGTTCAAGCATCTTTGAGCTCATGGGGTAATCAACAGGTGTGCAAAACAATTATGTTTTCAATCGCAAATTTTTATTGTATCCTAGGTTTTTCATTTTAAAGCTAAATAGAGTTTCTGTTAGAAACAAGTTCAGGTTCCGGTGTTCCTTTTTTGTTGGTTTCTTCACTGTGTTGCTTTCATGACTCATAATGGGTGCTTCCATTTGCCCAAAAAAATAAATTCATTTTCAGATTCTCTGGGAAAATTAATGTGTTCCATGCTTGTAAATGAATTCTTAATTGCATTCCATTCTACCTATCGAGCATTTACTTCATAAGTGAAATCCAGAATGGAGGAATTTTTTAGATTTGTTGTACTTTTTGACATTTATTATACTGATGAAGCAACATATAGTGATTTCTAGTGGGGTGTGTTGGGTTCTCTGCAATTATCCCTGAGACCAGAGTGGTGGGAGG